CAGATCTTCGCCGCGTCGATCGCAGATATTGATAAGGCGCTACAACCCAAGAAGCCTGTAAACGTACGAGCACTACTACTAGCGCAGTATCAAGAGTTCTACGAGCTCTTCAACCCAAAAGAAGCTGAGAAGCTGCCACCGCACCGAGGGCCAGGAGTGGACCACAAGATCGAGCTAGAGCTAAGGGATGCTTGACCGCCATAGGGACCTCTTTATAGTATGTCGCGCGGAGAGCTTCTAGTCCTCTAAAAGGAGCTTACGTCACTCCTTAAGAAAGGGTTTATCCGCGTAAGCAGCTTGCCAGCCTCAGCTCTAGTATTGTTCGCTAAGAAGCCTAGGGGAGGGCTCCGACTGTGTATCGATTATCAGGCTCTAAATGCGATTACAAAGAAGGACCAGTATCCATTACCACTTATTCGAGAGACGCTTAATAGCTTAAGCAAGGCTAAGTGGTTCACGAAATTAGACGTTATCGCAGCCTTCCACAAGATCCGCGTCGCACCAGGCGATGAGTGGAAGACGGCCTTCCGTACGAGATTCGGATTGTTCGAGTGGCTAGTTACCCCCTTTGGCATGGCGAACTCCCCAAGTACCTTCCAACGATATATTAACTAGACCTTAAGAGAACACCTAGACGACTTCTGCTTAGCTTATCTAGACAACGTGCTAATCTATACTAACGGCGATCTGCGCTAGCATCGAGAGCATGTCCGAAAAGTACTTAGTAAGCTACAAGCTGCAGGGTTACAAGTGGACATTAAGAAGTGCGAGTTCGAAGTCAAGACGACTAAGTACCTTGGGTTTATTATCGAAGCAGGCAAGGGGATAAGCATAGATCTAGCCAAGATAGCCGCAATTCGCGAGTGGGAGGCACCAAAGACAGTAAAGGGAGTAAGATCGTTCTTAGGATTCGCAAACTTCTACTGAAGGTTTATTAAGAACTTTACACAGCTAGCCGCACCTCTTACTAGACTTACGGGCAACGTCCCCTTCTAATAGGGACCCAAAGAGCAATCAGCCTTTGACAAGCTAAAAGAGATCTTTGTTATGGAGCCAACGCTGGCGGCGTTCGACCCAGATCGGGAGACAGTGCTCGAGTGCGATTCGAGCGGCTACGCGGTAGGCGGAGTGCTATCGCAGTACGGTGATGATGGAGTCTTACGACCCTGCGCGTTCTTCTCGCGGAAGAATAGCGCGCACGAGTGCAACTACGAGATCCACAACAAGGAGTTACTCGCGGTAGTACGATGCCTTGAGGAATGGGACTCCGAACTGCGTTTAGTTGAGAAGTTCAAGGTGATCACAGATCACAAGAATCTAGAGTACTTCATGAAACCCCGTATGCTAAACGAACGTTAGGTGAGATGGTCGCTTTTACTTGGTAGATACAACCTAGAGCTGCTGTATCGGCCGGGTAAGCAGAACGTGAGAGCCGACGCGCTCTTAAGAAGAGAACAAGACCTGCCTATAGGGGCAGAAGACGAGCGCTTATAGAAGCGCTTCGTATAAATATTTAAGCCAACGAACTCCCATCAGGAGGTAACAGAAGAAGAACCAGAAGAAGCTATCTTAGTAATGGCAACGAGGACACGAAGCTAGCAGCGGGAAGAGGAGGCTATCCCCCTATCTAGAGAAGAATCAGATCAGCTCCTTCCTAGAGTACTAAATGAAAAAGTGCTAGAGCAGAATAAGTTAGAGAAGCTCTAGCAAGAAGCGACAGCGAAGGATTGTGTCTACCAAGGAGCGAAGAAGGTAGTAGAGGACTAAGAGAGACGTTTCCCCGTGAACTTAGGCCTAAAGTGCTCAATCGAAGACTGCTTAGCGGACAGTGGAGTCCTGTTTTACTAAGGGCGCAAGTGGGTGCTAGACAACGACGAGTTGCGAACGGCAATCATCAGCAGTGCCCACGACTCACTAGTCACTGGTCACCCAGGGCGCGAGCTAACGTACAAGATTCTCGCAAGGGACTACTTTTGGCCAGGCATGACTAATTCGATCCGAAGATACGTTAGAAACTGTGACACCTGCGGACGGAGCAAGTCCTGGAGAGAGGGCACGCAAGGCCTTCTAAAACCACTGCCGATACCCACTTGGATCTGGAAGGAGATCTCCATAGATTTCGTCGAAGGACTACCAGAGAGCGAAGGCATGACTAGCCTGATGGTGGTCACTGACCGGCTTAGCAAGGGTGCGATCTTCGTACCGCTCCCGGATACGAAGACGGAAACCGTCGTCCAAAAGTTCATCGAGCGCGTGGTTGCATATCACTGGCTACCAGACGCTATTACCTCCAACAGAGGCAGCCAGTTCGTGAGTACACTATGGGCTAAACTATGCGAGCTTCTGAAGATCAAGCGGAGACTATCAACTGCCTACCACCCGCAGACAGACGGCGCAACGGAGAGGATGAACAGCGTCTAGGAAACCTATATCCGATCGTTTACAAACTGGGCTCAGGACGACTGGGCACGGCTCTGCCTGATGGCCTAGATTGC